TGAAGAATTACTCATTATCAATTAAAATGGAAGATTTTCAGGAAGACAAATTAGACGTAATTGGTGTTGAGAGTACTTCCTGGGTCTACTTATCCTTCTGCAGGAGCTCAAACGAAATCAAGAAATATCAAGCTAATGAAAATAAAGTCGGGAAAATTGAAGGAAATGCTGTTTTAGCCCAAAAATATGGACTCTCCGACATAGCTGCTGATGGTGAAGATAAGTTTGGAATGGAGCATGTGGTCCAGGTTTCTTCAGTAGCTCAATCCAAGAAGAGCATTTGGAACTCGTTACTGGAAAAGTTCGAGGGTTCTGGTAGGAGGCAAAAAGGGAAAGACTCTGAAACTAATACCTTTTCCCAACAATATGTCAAAAGAAAGACTGATCACATCAAGAAAAAGGGTCATCTATTACAAAAACTGAAGAGAAATTGGAAGTCATCTTACGATATTAGAATGGAAAACACCTCAACGATTATGTTGAATGGCACTGATGATATACCTAAAAGCGTCTTGAGTTCGTGGCGTTCAATAGATGCATTTTGATTTAAAATGTTGTAAAAGTACTCATGCTAACTAAATTTACTGGGATTTATGGAAATCCTTGGGTACCTGCTACTTTGCATATGTTTTGTTGTAAAAGTACTCATTCTAACTGAATTTACTGGGATTCATGGAAATCCTTGGATACCTGTTTACTTTGCATATTCTGTATTTTGTTAACTTTGCCAATTCTAACTGAAGTTCATAAAAATAGAACTTGTGTTTATGTGAAATGAATTTTATTGCCTTGCTAGCTGAGTTCAGAAAAATAGAACTTGTGTTTATGTGAAATGAATTATATTGTCTTGCTAGCTGCTGTTCTGTACAAACATAATATAAAATTAAACATATTTACAATTTTGTTTTCTGATTATACCCTTTTATGATACAATTTTATATCAGAGATGATTAATTTATTAGTGTTATATTTTGACGAGTTTGGTTGCGGAAATAATTTCTCATGTCGTAAATGGAAGTTCGAACAATTCCCCCAAAGGACACTTTTCCCACAAGACAATTGCTCCTCCCTTAAAACACTTGTTCCGGACGACGATTGCCCTTTGAACAATTACAAGTTTATTTTTCACTCCTCGTCAGCTTCTCATTACAAGCAATAGCTGTCAGTCAAAACTAAACCTAACCTAAGCTTTTCTAACCCAACTAATCCTCAGGATTATTATAAAGGAGCAATTTTTCGCTTGAACTTGATAGTTAGGAGTTATTGTCCTAAGGGACAGTTGTTATTACCCCGGGAAATGAATCATGCACTCTTCCTTATACTGCGAAAACGTGGTTACGGGTCCCATCTGTGACCTATCCATGTGTCCTGCAGGTTTACTCATTCTTGTGAACATTCAGTAATTCCAAGCATATATATAAGTAAGTAACATTCCTCTTGTAATAGAATATGTTTATGTCCTTTTATATTATTATTATTATTATTATTTTTATTATTATTATTTTTATTATTATTATTTTTAATATTATTATTATTATTATTATTATTATTATTATTATTATTATTATTATTATTATTATTATTGTCATTATTATTTTTATTATTATTATTATTATTATTATTATTATTATTATTATTATTATTATATAATGGCATATGTATTTCATATTAAATTCATATCCTCTTTCAGTTTCTATCGCTGTTAATACTATCAGTTATCCATTACCTAAATGTATTGCATATGTGGATTCACAAACCCCTCATAGTTTTCTACACTGTAAAAGAAGGTCTATGAACAGGGTGGTTGCAAATACAGCATTTATTTAATTTTAACTTATTTTATTCTTATTATTATTATTATTATTATATATATATATATATATATATATATATATATATATATATATATATATATATATATATATATATATATATATATATATAGATAGATAGATAGATAGATAGATAGATAGATAGATAGATAGATAGATAGATAAATAGATAGATATAGATATAGGGGGTTCAAAAATATGAGTATATTGCTTAACTTCCAAAGGGGGTGTCTGAACCCCCAGATGGTTGAGAACCACTGCTTGAAGTGATCAAAAAGCACTAATGAAACTCGCATTAACAAGTGTCTTAACAGTCTGCCGTCTGGTGTGTATATATCTCTCTCGTTTTCGAATTTCAATATATTTCAACCTCTCTCTCTCTCTCTCTCTCCTCTCTCTCTCTCTCTCTCTCTCTCTCTCTCTCTCTCTCTCTCTCTCTCTCTCTCTCTCTCTCTCTCTCTCTCAGATACACACAGCTTTCTCTCGTTTATTCAGACGTTTGAAATTAGAAAATGATTAATGCATTACTTGTGCTAATGGCTTTTGAAGTTGAAAATAATAATTTGGGTTACTTTAGCTATGAACTCCAAGAGAGAAAGGAATTATTAATCATTTGGTTGGGACTGAGTCAAGGTCGCATGCATAGCATAATAGCATATAGACCTAGA